ACTTTATTTTATTATTATGTAAATTTCACATACATAAATACAAGTTTGACAAAAGCAAACCTCTCTTTATGGTGCAAGAAAAAGAGATTCACATGTATACAAAACTGATTTCTAAGTCTAAAAATAGAAAAGCAATTAAAACAGTTAACATATGCTCCTCCTTCATCATTTTTGTATAACATTGTTTGTATAGATGCATTTCCTGTAGTAAAAGTGCAATAATATCTCTTGTTAATATCTAAAATTGGAAAAATGTGCTTAATATATTTGTATGTAATTTGATAATTATGCACTCTCTCCACTGTTTTTTTTCTTTATCTTTAATTTCTTTTTTCTCATTTATTCTATTCTTGTTGAGAAATTTAAAGTGATTTAGTTGTATAAGAAAACTACATGCTAGTTCTTGTTAACACAAAAAAGAAGAAGAAGAAAAAAAAGAGACCAATCGAGGATAAAAACATGATCTCTCTGGACAGAAATTTTAAAAATGGACCAATCACTCACTTTTTTTTCGCAGCTCCGTACAATAGAATTTCACAAGCTCAAACTCTAGTGTGACCACAGCTTTATCTGTAGGTTGCAAACAAGTCTGAAGAACTAAATTAGTTTGTTCAAGTGTGTTTAATTAGGGTTGGAACTAAACTGTGCAGAGCGCGGCTCTCTAGTAACCGAGTTTGTCACCGGTGTTCATTCATTAATTCATTTTCTTTTTGGCTTAGTCCCTTTATTAATCAAGGGTCGCCACAGCAGAATGAACTGCCAACTTATCCAGTTTATGTTTCACACAGCGGATGCCCAACCAGCTGCAACCCGTCACTGGGAAACATCCATACACACTCATTCAAACACATACACTACAGTCAATTTTACCAAACCCAATTCACCAATATCACATGTCTTTGAACTTGTGGGGAAAACCGCATCACTCGAAGGCAACCCATGCTATCGCAGGGAGAGCATGCAAACTCCACACAGAAATGCCAACTGACCCAGCCGAGGCTCGAACCAGTGACCTTCTTGCTGTGAGGCAACAGCACTGACACCTATGTTTTAAACAATAATTCATTAATTATTCATTAGTTTCAGAAAGGTTGTATAAGTTTAATTCATTAATTTGTTTGAGATACTAGGCTGGCACTGGGTTTAGCAAATTGGTGTCACATAATTTCTGAAAAATAAAATTCAATTCTCTCGCTCGATGAAGTTCTCGCTGATGCAATTTTAATAAAGCGACTTGTTTTTTTTCTATGAAGATAATGTCTAATTTGTTAGATTGTTTCCACACCTTCATGTACGCAGCTTCCGTCTCTGCAATGGTGCGGTCAAACTCAGCACGAGCACTAAGGCGGTGGGCCAGGCTCTCGTTTACACGACTTAGCTTCTCTGTTAGCACACGGATGTCATGTTGCAGACGAGCTTTCTCTGCTTCCTCCTGCTGGATCAGCCGGTTCAGATCTTCTCTTTTAGAGCAAAGCTCCTCTATACCTGAAAAAAACAAAGAGAAGGAAAGAGGCCATCATTTGAAACTGCTGAGCAGTTTTAGCCCATATCCATGTTTTCCTTGTGTTGCTTTACATTCATGTTGTGATAGTGGAAAGGGAGTGCATATAAATGACATACGAAGGCTTGCTCAGCACTTCCTCCTGCTGACTGATGCAAAAAAGACTAAGGGCTGAGGCTACTGTATAGGAGAGAGAGAATTTTGAGTTTATTGCCATTTCAGCTTCTTTGGTTATGTCATGGCAAATAAAAAAAAATTATAATAATAATAAAAAAATCAAGTTTACCACATATTATTAGTTTCACTTTTCTATAGTTATAAAAATATTCTAACAATTAAAAGTCACTAACAGCAATAAATAATGCACAAGGTTAAATAAATAAATAAATAAATAATGATAATATACAAGATAAAAATCTAAAAAAGTTTTTAAGGATTACTTTTAATATAAAATTTACAATTTTAGAAGGATTCCCATTTAAAACTATTTTATTTAAAGCCTTTCCAAATAAAAACTATTGTATGATAACATTAAAATAGGGCATTCCACAAGAATGTTTAACAGTTTGGTTTCTTTTGCAATATTGACATTTTACTGGTTCTTCTCCTTTAAGTAAATGTTCATGTGTGAGTCTCGGCAGATGCCGCATCTTCTATAAACAATCTTACCGTGTCTTGAGATAAAAAATAAATTGGATTTTCTTTCTATTTCTGGCTGAATTTCAAAGTTTATTTTCCGAGCACTGATCCCATTCTGTTTGCCCTTTGTTTAGAATATAGCCTTTTATTAGTGGCTTAAGTTCCGAAGGTGGAATTTTGCATTTCTTTATCTTTCCTTTAAGGCAGGATTTATTATTCTCTATTTCCACCTGGGGAAACTCATCCTGAGGCCTCTAAAGATTACGCAGCGCCAATGATCCAAGACCTGTGAAGAAATGAAGCCAACCATAGAGGACTTTTAGAGGTATCCATATCCTCAACCAGGCCGTATCCTGAGTGGATGCTGTGGCAGTCATGAAGGAGCGAAGAGCATGAGAATGATTCCTGAAAGACCACACTGACAGACGAGTCCCTGCATTGATCCTGTGGGGCAGCCTGAACACCCGCTCTTCAGTTTTTGGACTTCCAGCAGTGAAAATTAAACCACACTGAACTGAACTGAACTTCAACTCTGAAAACGGGACTGACATGGTATAAATTTACTATAATGTCTATGTTAAGCAGCTTTGAAACACTCTTCATTGAAAATCACTAGAGAAATAAACATGAATTGAATTGAGAGTTTTACAGTATTTTTAAAATGTGACCTGAATGTTAGAACAATGTTTAATTAACATATATTATGTTTATCAAAATGAAGACAAATGATGTTACTTTACCTTATTGTCAAATGTCGGTGTGTTAAGATCATAGTTTAAGTGATGAACAACACATATGTGAAAGTGAGAAACACTAACTGGGAGTTCAACATTTAACCTAATGCAAAGACTTTACAGGGTTCATACACATTTTTACTACTAAAATTCTATAACTTTTCCATGATTTTTTCAAGATGCAATGGGTAAAAGACAAACAATGCATGTTTAAATTTATTACATGTCATAAAACATGCAACAATCTATCTAGTTTCATTTTATATTTATATTCATGTAAAATTGATAATACTCTCACCAATAATGTGAGAGTATGTGACTGATCAGGGACAGAAAAGAAGTAACATAAAATAACCTATATTCAAGTATAAACATATGTTTTCCATTACTTTTCCAAAACATTGTGGTTTTTCTGTTTTCCCAAAATTTTTCCAGGCCTAGAAAATGCCATGTCAAAATGCCATGTCTTTTCCAGGTTTTCCATGACCGTATGAACCCTGACATTACCTGATACACGTGTTTGAATACTTTCTGAATCCACTCAATCTCATTAAAAGGATTATCTGTGTTTCACCCCAGACTTGAAAAGACATCAATTTGATCTTTCTTATAAATAAGTAGATGCCTTCTTTGCTAAAAGCAGTGAGGTTATTAATGTAAAAGAACAAAGGCACGGGTTAAACATTGGTTGAACATGAATTCGATTTTTTAAACTAGTTTTCTGATTATTTATAAGCTAATTTGAGTGAGACTAGCAGCAAACATCTACATACAACCAGATGAAAGTAACAAGAAATTTAAAATAAACAGGAAACGAATGTTCCCCTGTCGGCAAAATGAAATATATGGCTACTTACACTTGACAAGCTCGTTGTTGTAGGTTTGCAGCGCAGCTCCTTGTTGGGTCATTCTGATCACCAGGCTAGCTAGCTAACTACACAAAAAGGCCTCTTAACTAGTTTAATCGCTCAAGACGTTTCATACAGTGAAGTCAGTTAGTTTGCTGTACCTTCTGATGCAGGCTTTTTATTGAAACAACAAGGCGTACACTTCACCGGGTATTAAATGATGCAGATCAGCGAGGGGAGTAAGTTTAAAGAAAACATTCCAGAAGCGAGTGAATCAAGTCAAGTCTCCCTCCTGTTTCCACGGAAACGTCAAAGAAGCGTCGTCATGACAGTTTCCGTTAGACTTTTATTTTATAAATTTGCACAAAGCTGTAAAAAAGATGAATCATTTAACAAATAAAAAGGCAGTCAGAATATGAAAATGCAATGACAATAGAAATGCACGCAAGTACACTGAACACATCCAATGCCTTTCCAGTAAATTTCTGAGTTTTAATTTATAGAGGATAGATAAAAAACAACGAACGCATGAATCATAATAATAAATGTGTAATAGATACTGAGTTAATCATTTTAAATATAATTAAGCAAACAATCATTCATGTGAGAGTCGCAAAGAACTTGCATCATCATCATCATCATCATCATCATCATCATCATCATCATCATTTTATTATTATTATTCTTTACAAAAAGTTTACAGCAAAAAAGTGTTAAAACTGTGAATTTTTTGTCTTTATTTACAAAGTTTTTATTTACTTTGTAAATATTATTTAATTGGATAATTTGCCTCTGTACTATTTACTATTTTATTTTATTTTTTTATTTTATTATTAATTTTATTAAAACACAATGAAAAAAGAAAAAAAGTTTTATTATTATTATTATTATTATTATTATTAGTAGTAGTAGTAGTATTAGTATTATTATTTATACGTTGCCATTTCTTATAATTATTATTTTTATTATTTTAAAAATAATTTTAAGCCCCTAAACAGTGTATACAATATAAGACTATACATACAACAACAAATAGGCTAAATAATTATCTTTGACAGTGAAGAAAAATACAACTAAAAACAACTAAAAAAGCAAAAGTTACTCATTAAACATTGGGAAAAAAATTAGCAAACAGATAAGGTTTTATAAGCTTATTTGGTATCAGACAACTGGATCAATGAACGATTATCTTTTTTTCGTCTTCTTCTTACGATTATCAACATCCGGTAAAGTAACATCAATGTCGTCATCGACGAGCGACGGCAGTTTGAAGAAGAGCGCTACATTTTCTCAGTGCATGAAATATTTTATTGTATATTTTAGACATGTTTATTACGGAGTAACGGGATATGGACGGATAAGTGCAACGAGCATAGCCTAACTGCTGTTTACTATCTGCGCTCTAATGAACGAGATGCAGTCTGTGCCGCAGGGACTGTCAGTAGCCTGGGACACAGTGACATCTTCTCTGGTGAGTGTTAAACATAATTTAACTCGTGTAATGCTAACGACAAGGTGAAAGGCGCTAGAATGCTGAAAGAGAAAGCTTCTTAAAGCATCTAATTGGAAATCAAAAATAATCTTTTTACAGGGCTGCACGATTTTGCAAGAACTGATTTTGCAATATCATGTGTTCTATGAAATATATTACGATTTTAATGTCACTTCATAAGATGATTTAAATTAAAAACTATTAGGAAAGAATCTAAAATATTGTGATATTTGTGTAGGGAGTGTGTTTATTACAATGTACAATAAACAAATCGCAAGCATAAATGAATACAACAGAACAAAGATACAAATCAAATCGTGCTGTTTAGTGTTCTGGATCAGGAACGTGCACACAAAGGGCGCAGCCTGTGCAGTGCACATGCCCTTTTTAGTCTAGGATAGAAAGTGCCCTTCCAAAATGATCTGAAGTGAAAACATTGACAGATTCGTTTTTGAGTATTTCTAAAGTACTGTAAAATACTCGCTTACCCAAAAAACCCAGAAACCGTAATTTGGATTTTCCGTAATTTGGATTTTTTTCATGGCAAGGTTGATATTTTCATGAATTTGCTCATTTGTAGTCTAATAGATGTCTTTGGAGTGTGTACAATACCGCTCCTAACTTCACAAAAGTAAAGGAGTAAAGAGAAAGTAAAGATGAGTAGGAGGCTCGTTCTTTATCCTCGCGCTGCAAGTGTTCTGTTTAATCATTTTCTTGCTAGTAAAGCATTCAATTTTTCCACTTACAAATTCATGTTTATTACACACCATGTAAATAGCAAATGTGCCATGGCGCATTGCAATTGACTCTTAAAGGAATTGTTGGATGAAACTCTGATTTGTTTAATGCACGTTTTGCTCAAAACACACCCAAAACCTATTAAGAGAATAGGCACAACCCTGTTACACCATGTGCTTTAGACTTTGCACCTAGATCGTAAAATAGAGCCTGATGTTTTTACACTTCTATGTATTTAAAGTATCAAACATGTAACCCAACCAATTTTTTAGGTCTCTCCTGTGCAACAGAATGTGTCTACAGCTGAGGCTCTTTCTGATGCCTTGTCCCTGCTGACCGAGCATGGACTGGGTCAGTATGTGGAGGGTTGGCTGTTGGAGACTTTGCAGGTTCGTTTGACTACATCTGTTGCTCCAGAGTTCTGGACAGGACTCAAGCAGCCAGAGGGAGATTCACAGGAGAGAGACAGGGCAAAAGCCTTACTGGACGCTTTCAGAAACCTTCTACAACAGCTGGAACCTTTCCTTGGTAAAGCTGTTGCACCCTATTGTTTAACAGCTGTTGTTATTGTTGTTGTTGTTTTTTATTTTTACAAATTCTACGCTTTTCTAAAAATATTAGAGGTAAATGAGTTTTGAATTAGTTTATTTTGCCATTGTGTTGCAGCTGTTAAATTGACAAATTGTTTTTTTTAGAAGAACTAAATATATTAGATGCATCCCAAATTGCATACTTATGCACTATTCTACACCATTTTGTAGTATGAACTTTAAATAACCAGCACTTCACACACTCTGTACTTTATTACTTTATTTATTTTGGATTGTGGAGGCAAAATTATCCTACTAGAGTGATTATACGCCTCCCGATTGTGAATGCGTTATACTCATGGCATTTGGTAGTTTGGTCATTTATTTCACTAATTTGGGACTCGTCAAATGTCATCAGGGAAACAATTTCAATTTCTGCTTAATAAAAAGAAACGTTAGTGTTCTATTTGGGATGACACTACATTCATATACTATGCTGTTAAGTGTGTAAGTGCATAAGTACATAGTGCATTAGTGTGTACATGTAGTGTTCCATTTGGAATGCAGCTATTGTAATTTAAATGTGTTGTGATTGCAATGGTTTCACCAGAAGCTTCAAAAGGCATAAATGTTCTTGTAAATATAGATGTCCTTTTTGTTCAATCGGGTTGTTAATGAAATAACAAATGCACAGATAGATTTTTCACTAGTCCAGTTTCTTAGCTAAAATAACGACTGATACTACATGCAACTTTTGTCCACCTATCATAAGTGACCTATGATTTAAGATTACAGAAATGTAACAATAAGAAGAAATAAAGTATTTTCCTTAAAAATATATATGTTCTAGGAGTGCCTTTCACAAATGTTTGATCTGAAACAGCCAAATTGCAAAAGTAACCATCTTGCTACTGTATGTTCTTTAAATATGAGCACTTTGTGATATTTACACAGGAATGACCCTAGTTGAACTTTTGCTGAGGTGGCTAATTGAGCCTTTTCAGCCTAGTTGAGAACCACTGTTCTAAAAAGTAAACATAATTTTCATGCTTAGTATTACCATATCTTCTACGTTTAATCTTAAAGTTCCGTTTTGTAGTTAAATGGATAGTTCACCCCCCAAAATGTTACTGACTTTTAAGGTTTTTTTTCCTGTTGAACACAAAAGAAGATATGTTGAAGACAGCTGAAAACCTGTAACCATTGACTTCCATTGTAGGAAAAATAAAGACCTAACCATCTTTGGTGTTAAACAGAAGAAATAAACTCAAAAAAGGTTTGAAACAAGCGAAGGGTGAGTAAATGGACAGAAGAAAAATTTTGGGGTGAACTATCCCTTTAAAATGTGCCTTATTTATACAAAGCTGGTAGAAAAATTTTAAATCTGAAAAGTTCTGATGCACGATTTTCTTTCTATTGGATTTTGGATGTTGTGAACCTCATATTTGTTTGGTAGACTTAACCCACTGAGTGTACAATGGTAATTAATGGTGTTAATGCAATTCCTCTTTTTTCCTTTAAGGTGGTCTTGAGAAACTGGGCTCATGGCAGGAGGAGAGCTGTGGGGATTTGTGTGGTCCAGGGCCCCATGGTCTGATTGAGAGAGCTTTTTCTGTCATTCGTGCCATTCTCCTGTTCTCGCCTCCACCTGTCCTGCAGGAACGCATGTTGGAGTTTTATAGCCGAACATTCTCAGTGCACATGAGTCAGGCAGGGGAAGCTGTGGAGGCTGAGGAGGGAGCCGTTGATACTGATGAAGGTGGTTTGTGCTCGGGCTGTGCCACCCTCCCTCACCTGTGCTGGTGTCAGGAAGCTCTACAGCAGCTTCAAGAGCTCAGCCACATACTGTGAGTTAAAGTCAAGTGCCATTGTGATGAATAATAACACTGCAAATGCAGCTGCTCCACTGTTGTTTGGTTACTATTTGCATACTATTGCTGTTTGTAGTGTCAGTTGGCTAATATGTTTAAATTGAACTGTGGCTATGAACTGTTGTGTAAAATCAGAGTCACGTTTGCAGTCTCCACTCATATTTAGCAAAAGCACAGCTGTTGCTTTGTGATGTTTCATAATAATATAATTTACTATATACCTGTATCTTGAAGGTATAGAAAATGTCCCTACCATTTACACACATTCAAGTTATTTTAAACTTTAGGGGAATTTATTTCTTATTTTTTCTTTTATTTTTTGAACACAATAATAAGATATCCTGAAGAACGTTGGAAAAAAGCGTTTATTGACATCCATAGGAACTTAAAGTACTATGGAAGTCAATGGCTGTTTTTTCCATCATCCTTTACTAGTACCATTTTTTGTGTTATACAGACTTAAGAAAGTCAAACAGGTTTGAGACAAGTGGCAGATGAGTAAATGCAGCATTAAAATATTTGGGCAAACTACCATTTTTTGCCCCATGTTTTTAATTTTGGGGTTATTCCTACAGCATTCTAATAATTAGAATCATAAAAAAAGCATTCACTTTCAAGGATTGTTTTATACTATTATATGGCATATTTGCACATTACTGAAACAACCATTATTATATTATTATCATAAAATGTGGTTAAAAATAGTACTTTGGTTGTCTTACATTCCAATTGTCCCATTTGCTTCTTTTAATACAGCACTGACATACAGTTAAATTCAGAATTATTAGCCCCCCTTTAATTAATTTAATTTTTAAAAAGTTTTCCCAAATGATGTTTAACAGAGGTAGGAAATTTTCACAATATCTCTGTGTATTTTTTTCTGAATAAATTCTTATTTAATTTATTTCGGCTGGAATAAAAGCAGTTTTTACATTTTTAAAAAACATTTTAAGGTCAAAATTATTAGCCCCTTTAATCTATGTTTTCCGATAGTCTATAGAACAAGCCATCGTTATGCAATAACTTGCCTAATTACCCTAACCTTCCTAGTTAACCTAATTAACCTAGTTAAGCCTTTAAATGTCACTTTAAGCTGTGTAGAAGTGTCTTGAAAAATATCTAGTAAAATATTATTTAGTTTTATCATGGCAAAGATAAAATAAATCAATTATAAGAAATTAGTTATTAAAACAATTATGTTTATAAATTTTTTGAAAAAAAAATTCTCACCGAAAAAATAATCAGGGGGCTAATAATTCAGGGGGGCTAATAATTCTGACTTTTACTATAAATTTTGAAGTTTTATGTTTGGTGATTTCAGGTCCAGACTACAGCTGTTGGAACGCGTGAGCTCAGAGGCTGTGACCAGCATCTTGCACCAGCTAATAGAGCAGAGAATGGAGCAGCGCTATAGAGGAGAATATGAACGCTCTTTTCTTACTGACTTCAATGATGTACGTAACTTTCATCCATTTACAGACCAGAAAACATCATTTAATTTTATGTTCTCTGCTTAAAGGCATAGTTCACCCAAAAATGTAAATACTCACTATTTACTAACCCTCAAGTGGTTCCAAACCCTAATTATTGTCTTTCTTCTGTTGAACACAAAAGAAGATATTTTTAAGGAAACTGTAAACAGTAGCTAGGTTTCCATCCACCTATTTTTATGTGCATTTTGGATATGCGCATAAAAAAACATTTGATGGAACCATCATGATGCACCTGAATTTTGAAACTGCGCATAAAAAACATGCGCAGATCTGAGTAGAATAAACACTTTATTCGATAAGAAAAGATGCGCATAAACTACGATGGAAACACTTTTACTGCACAAATTCCATTATGCGCATTAAAGTCATTTAGAGTCAGTGATTTTGTTGTTGGAGATCATGTGATGATAAAAATTTGTGTGTGATAAACCAACAGGCTGAGCACATTGTTAAACATCTAAAATGTTGTTTTGGTCATTCTAAAACACCTTAACAATTTTAGTATTCATTCATTTATTCATTTTCTTGTCGGCTTAGTCCCTTTATTAATCCGAGGTCGCCACAGCGGAATGAACCGCCAACTTATCCAGCAAGTTTTTACGCAGCGGATGCCGTTCTAGCCGCAACCCATTTCTGGGAAACATCCACACACACATTCACACATACACTCATACACTATGGACAATTTAGCCTACCCAATTCACCTGTACTGCATATCTTTGGACTGTGGGGGAAATCGGAGCACCTGGAGGAAACCCACGCAAAGGCAGGGAGAACATGCAAATTCCACACAGATACGCCAACTGAGCCGAGGTTCGAACCAGCGACCTTCTTGCTGTGTGGCGACAGCACTACCTACTGCGCCACTGCCTCGCCCCCATTTCAGTATTAGTGTTGTATTATTAATTATCTCCAGAATTGTCAAAAGCGTCTGTGCTTTGGGTCTCATGCCTTTAAACATCACCATGTGTTCTTCTGAGGTGCAATTAATTTATTAAATGAGGAAAATATTGACGCAGCTTCTACTAAAGCAAATTCCATTTTTACTGTTGATATTTGGCGCCAGTTAATCAGGTAGTGAAGATTTTGTTCTTTTTGACTACTTGAATGGAAATGCTGCTTTATTTTCATGTCTTATGTGCGATATTCCAGTTTTGGCATAAATTAAATTTGCATTTTTGAATAGAAACACAGCTATTGACTTCCATAGTAGGAAAAAAACAAATACTTTACATGTTAGTGATGGCAGGTTTCCAGCGTTCTTCAAAATATAAACAAAATAAAGAAAATTCAACCAGTTTGAAACAAGTAAAGTGTGAGTAATTGTTTTGGGTGAACTATCCTTTTAAAACGATTGCACGTTTTGATGTATAGAATAGGTTATATGCACAGCTAGTGTTACAGCTAAATAGGCTTTTATTTAGTTGATCAGGCGTAAAATGAGATTAAAAAAACATCTTTCCTTCAGGAGCAGCTGGCGATTTTTGAAACTCCATTGAAAATACTGTTGTCAAATAAATGTTCATATTTTAAAAGCATGGCACAGATCAATGGAATTTAAAACAGTGCTTCTTGTCTGGTCTGAGACCCACTTTATATCGTATATTGATCAGGCCGTGAAGTTCACTGAATTTTAATGGAGACAGATCTCAAACACCGTGATTTTTGTATGGGCACGATAGATCATCCGAAGCTGACTTACTGAAAGTCAAAAGTCCTGTGCATATATACCCCATTATGCTCATGGATTTAAACAAAATGCAATTATGAATCCACAATGTGCAAATTGATCCATCTAGATTAACATATGGTTAGTTACCTTACCTAAAGGCAGGTATTTTTGTTGAAATTTGAACTATTGAAAAGTGTATGAACTTATTAAAGTGCTCATTAAGTGAAGTATATTTGTAAACTTATTTCGAGAGGATCACATGCTTATGATTGTCCACGTCTGGTCCCACATTAACTTTATGATTGATTTATCAATTGGATGATTCCTAACTCCAGGCGAACTCACGTTAGGTACAGTTGCCTTGAACCGTGCCAATGCACGATTGTCCCCCATCCCCTCTCCCCCTTGGCCTGCACTCCGGTAGGCATTTTTTACCTACCAGACCTGAGCACAATTACATCATCGATGATGCAACTGTTCAGTTTAACAGGAAGAGAATCGCTCTCGCTCGGCACAAAGATTGCTTTAGTTATATTGGTTTGTATTATTTTTTGGCATTTGGAATGCAGTGACACACAGTTAAACACTTTGCTGAAGAGATCTACCAATTTTGACGTTCACAAATTATCATAAAAGTCCTCGTGCTGCAGGTACTGTTGAAACCAGAAGTTTACATGCACTCTAAAAAAAGGAACGTAACCCTTTTTAAAAAAATTGTCTGATGGTAAATCATACTAAACATTTACTATTTTAGGTCCGTTAGGATCACCTAAATGATTTACATTTGCTAAATGGCAGAATAATGAGAGAGATTTTGTTTGATAATTTTTTATTAATTTCTAGATAGTCAAAAGTTTACATACTTTTCCTTGGTATTTTTTTAGCTTTGCTTTTAAACTGTATAACTTTGGTCAAATGTTTTGGGTATCCTTCCACAAGCTTCTCTGAATAGTTTGAAGGAATTTTGGCCCATTCCTCCTGACAGAATTGGAATTGGTAACTGAGTCAGATTTGTTGGCTGTCTTGCTCGCACAAGCTTTTTCAACTCTGCCCACAAATTTTCTATATGATTGAGATCAGGGCTTTGTGAAGGCCACTCCAAAACATTGACTCTGTTGTCCTTAAAGCACATTTTAACTAATTTAGCAGTATGCTTAGGGCTGTGGCCTGTTTGGAAGACCCATTTGTGGCCAAGTTTTAATTCCCTGGCTGATGTATTTCTATATAATATTATTTTCTTCATGATGCAAAACAGCGCCACAACATGATGCTGCCACCCCCATACTTTACAGTTAGGCTGGTGTTCCTAGGCTTGTAAGCTTTCCCCTTTGTCCTCCAAATGTAACACTGGTCATTACGGCCAAACAGTTCATTCTTAGTTCCATCAGGCCACAGGACAGGTCTCCAAAAGTTATTATTTTTCCCGGTGTAATTTAGCAAGTTGTAATCTGCCTTTTTCTTTTGTTGATTCTGGCTTGTTGATTTCCCATGTCACACAAGGGAGCGGTGTGTTTGAGGTTTTCCTTTAATACTATTCTAATGTTGTGCCTCCAAATAACTCAAATGTCGTTAGTTAGCTAATCAGAAACTTTCAAAACCTTGAAACCATCATCTGAGCTTTTTTCAGAGGCATAATAATCTTATTGTACTAGACTTTCGAGAAAACAATTTCTCAAAAAAATCTCTCTCTCATTATTCTGCTATCAAGCATAACAGAAACTAATTTGATAATCCTAACTTGCCTAAAAAAGAATTTTATTTTAGTTAGAAGAAGTTTAGTCACAATAACATCTGACTTTTTTAAAAAAAATGGTTATGTGCCTTTTTATGAAGTGTATGTAAACTTCTGGTTTCAGCTTTTTTAGGAGGTTTCCTGAAGGTGCAGCTGACGTGCAGTGAGGGGTTTGTGTCTTTGATAAACTACGACAGTTTGCATTCAATAAAAATTAAGAATGATTAATAAATCCATATGAAATAGTCCCCTAAAAGTGATGCGCTTCTTTAGTTTCGGACTCAGGCGTGCTTTACACACACTACAAGCGTACCGCGCCAAATCCCAACTGAACGTGCCTGAGCCTGATTCAGAGTGCTCACACTTCTCAAACGAATCGGGAACCATGTCTAGGCACGGTTTGGATAGCATAGTGTGAGTGCACCCTCACTATAAATAACCAGAGTTTCTTATAGGACAGTAGAGAGTATTTACTGGAAAGCATGGAAGCAGAGAGAGGGGAAGGATTGGCATAGGACCTCGAGGCGGGAATTGAATTCGGGTCGCAGTGAGCACCTGAGTGCATGTGTCGATGCAGTAACCACTACACCATTGGCGCCGACCTAAGTGTGAACTTTTGAAAAGAAAAAAAAAAAAATTTATAATTTCTAATTATAACAAATAATTTTGTTTCCAGTGGTTGGGACAGGTTTTGGGATGGCTAAGCAGAGTGTTTTCCAGTAAGGCAGATGAGGTGGGCAGCGAAATCACACCCATAGATGGTAAGATGGGTCAACCAGCTAATGCACTCCTCCAGCGCTGGCACTGCCACATGCATCAGTTCTTCTGTCGCATCTATGTAAACATGAGGATTGAAGAGCTATTCAGCATCATACGAGGCAAGAAATAAACTTCATTTATTTATCATACTGCATGTTATTTCATCTTGGTTGTTTCATTATTTTATCCATCAATAATTTTATTTTCATTACTGTTGTAGATTTTCCAGAATCTACTCCTGCCATTGAGGATCTTAAATTCTGTCTGGAAAGGACCAATCAGAGGCAGCAGCTTCTTGCCTCCCTCAAATCAGCCTTTGAAACACGACTGCTGCACCCAGGTCTGGGATTCAGATGGTTTTCACACTTGCTAATTAAAAAACTTGTGTAAATACATTCATCATGCGTCCTTTTCTCATTACAGGAGTCCACACATCTGACATTATTACTGTTTACATCTCTGCCATTAAAGCTTTAAGAGAGCTTGACCCCTCCATGGTCATCTTGCAAGTGGCCTGCCAACCCATTCGTAAATATCTCAGGTTTGTGTTTGAGAAACTTTTTTTTGTACACCAGTTCCATTTTTAGTTTTCAATAACAAACCGGTTCATTGTATTTTGTAATGTTGAAAATGATAGAACCCGTGAGGACACTGTGCGCCAGATAGTGGGCAGTCTGACCGGGGATTCGGAGGGATGCACTGATCTGGCTAATGAGCTTTCTCGAGCTGACCCTGTTGCCCTGGAGACACAGGACAGTGAAGATGAGGGGAGTGATCCAGAGGACTGGACTCCAGATCCCACCGATGCACTCACAGGTTGGTGGTAACTGTCAGAGCACACCAACATAAGGAACCCAGTAAATAAGTCTTATTATGCATACGCAACCGGTCAAAAGTTTGGGGTTAGTATGATTTTTAAAATGTTTTAAAAGAAGCTTTTCCTACTTACCAAGACTGCATTTATTTCATCAAAAATGTTCAAAAAAACTGTTCAAAAGTATGTTATATTTAATTTAATAATTTATTCCAGTGATTTTAAAGATACATTTTTAGCTTCAATACCCCATACTTTAGAGTCGCATGAACCTTCAGAAATTACTCTAATATGAATTATTATGATTATTAATATTATTACTAAGAATGGTAATAGTAACAAAAATAATAATGACTGGAGAAATATTTTTTAAGTACATACGATAAAAAAATAGTTCCTTATTTTTTTATTATTATTTTTTAAATATTTAAATTTTTTAAATTTATTTTACATTTAATAAATGCCGCCTTGATGAACAGAGTAATTTTCTTTAAAAAAACATGTAGTGTATGTTCTGAAACAGTTTTGCTGGTTTTGCTGAATGTTTGTCAAATGAAAGCTTTTTAGAAAAGGCAGACAAATCTTTATCGTACAATATCATTTTTGATGATATGGTCAAACTGATTTTTAACTTCTGTTATCCAAAATATTTCAGCAAATGAGATGTCAGGCAGCATCAGTAGCAAATACAATAGTGTCATAGAATCCTGGCTGTCCACTCGGATGTCAAAAGTGTCCAGTGTCACCCCTCTGGCTCCGTCACTAGGGGCGTCACTGTCCTAGGCCGTGTTTTTAAATTTGACATCTTTGAAATCAGCTCCAGATGGAAAATGGCCTGAGGCTTGTGCTGAACCACAAAATTAGTTTCTTTGTAAAAGGAAGAAAGCTCACATATCTCACTGATTGACTTAACAATGCCATGGTTGAGACAGAGATGTGCATGGTGTCCCAAATTGCAAAAAAAAATGAAAATAAATTCAAAATTCTCTCACTTACAATGTATTGTTGCTGAATCTTTTTGAAGTTAAAAATCCACTTGGATTGAAATTTATTTATATTACAGTTTTAAAAATCGTTCAAAAGAATGAACTAAATAAAATAGGTGGTCACACTTTATTTTGATGGTTCGATTGTTGAATTTAAGTTACATTGCATCTACATGCCAACTAATTCTTATTAGATTATAATAAGACTGTTAGGTTGGGGTTAGGGTTAGTGTAAGTTGACATGTACTTGCATGTAGTTTCCTACAGTCAAATGTCTGTTGAAGGAGCAGTATCAGCAGATATTAAGCAGACAGTCCACTAATACTCAAATGGACTATCAAAATAAAGTGTTACCAAATAGGTTTCTATTTAGTGTAATATGTATTTATATAAGGGATCTATCATGTTTGGCCATACACCCAAAGCGCTTCACAATCATGAGGGGGATCTCTCCACACCACCACCAGTGTGCAGCATCCACTTGGATGATGTGAAGGCAGCCACAGGACAATGGCACCCACCCCACACCAGCTATAGGTCTAGGAGAAAGATAGTCATTGAGCCAATTCAGTAGATGGGGATGATTGAGAGGCCATGATCTGTGAAGGTCGGTGGAGGGAATTTGGCCAGGACACTGGGGTTACACCTCTACTCTTTACGAGAAGTGCCATTGGATTTTTAATTACCACAAAATGTCAGGACTTCAGTTTAACGTCTCATCCTAAAGACGCCGCTTACTGACAGTATAGTGTCCCCTTCAATATATACACTACTTCCAACAGCAACCTAGTTGTCCCATTTCTTACAGAATTAATACTAACACAATCAAATAAAACATGATTGACAGTAAAAATGCTTTTACAAATATAGCATGTGGTAGGATATGTGTAGGATCCGAGTAGGGCAGGGCGATTAATCGAAAAAGTAATCCAAATTAACATTACGAAATATAATCGATTTAATTTTTACAGGTCAATTTTTTTCAGTTTTTCCCTACTAAGTGTGGAGTCACGTGTCCCTGCTCTGTTAAGCCTTTATTTATGTGGCCATTTTGCTGCCACATCTGATCTCTGGTCAAGTAGTATGATGGACCCATTCTTGAGCCTTTCTTTGCACATCAAAAGCTGCGCTGAGATGCCTTGAGACGGCATATTTTCCATTACATTAAAATTATTATTTATATTAAAATATTTCTTTACAGAAGATGCAAAAAAACTTTTAAAAATATTATTTACCCAAGATGCAAGAGTTATTTGTTTTAGAAGAAATACTGTTTATTGTCTACTTTAACTATAATTTTTTTTTTATAATTTACTTTGTTTCCAAAAGTGCAGGTTATTTTTTAAAAAAAATCACAGATAGTAGTGTGTTTCCCTTTATGCACACTTCATTCAGTAATCTCTCTCTTGTAATATGTGAGCATATTTACTGTACGAAACCTGTCAGTAAACTATGAGAGCAAAAAATAAATAAATAAATAAATAAATAAATAAAATCGCTTAATTTAGTAATCGAGTTAAAATGCTCAACTAATCGAGATTTCAATTTAACGCCAAATCACCCAGCCCTAGATCTGAGTATTAAATAACTGTGTGTCATCCTGGAGTAAACATTCTAGACGTTTGTGATCAGTCTTAACTAGTGCTTGATGATCATTTCTAAGGGAAAGCATTGCCTGAAGACAGGACTTTGAATCTAATTAAAGGAAACATTCTTTTTTTGCAGTCTATATGTATGCAAGCGTTTGCTTCTGAATTTGGTTATGGTGATCATATGGATCTCAAAATTAGTAAAATGTTTCTGAAACATTCTTGATAGCTATCTATCCTTTTATGTAGTTTTTATAAAACGCATATATTTTTTTTCATAATCATCAAATTTATGGACGAAAAAACATTCATTCATACCTTTTTGGAATGATTGGTAATTTGTTGTTGGTTCATCCCCTTTTTTGCAATCTTTTTAATGCACTCATGTTTTGTAAGAGTTAAGAGTATGGTACATTCTTGCAGCATTTAATTAGATAGTTGTTTTCTGTTTGATTTTTATTTATTTGTTTTTCTGAACGCAACAAAACAGTAAAAACCATTATTTTCGTGAAAAATTGACAAAATAAATTAGAAAAACACAATAACATGTTAGGTGTTTTCTGCCAAGTGTTTTATTATATATTATAAGTTATTAAGCTTCAACAAGGAATTTTCTTTTTGCTGCATGTTTAGTGTATAGAATAAAAAACTTTTTCATCATTCTTTGCCATGAAAGTAATTTTTAGTTTGCCTAAATTTTAGTTTGCCCATGACTATTTGTCAGTTGCGTGCAAATACAGTCAAAATGAAGAAACAGTTTGGGTTTTTAAGCCTTCAAATGTTGTTCTTGGTTCCTCTTATCTGATTGGATGTTGTGAGCACGTTATTTTTTTCCGTAACAACCAGTACAGCAAAGAGACAGCAATATCAAGTTATGATGCTTAAGGAAAACATTTGTTTCTAACATCTTGGAAGCAGACATTTACGAGGGTACACCACAACTAAAAAAATGAAGTGATGTTTTGTACAGCTTGCCGTTAGTTTGGCGGTTTAGCCACTTTTGTTTGCAAAACACTTAGAATTTTGCTCATTATACATTTATTAACTTTTTTTAAAAAATATTTAAATTCTAGATTACAAACATTTTGACACATTTTTGTTTTTAATTTGTGGCTAAGAAATAGCTGTAAACTTTTTTTTTTTTTGTAGGGCCAGTGAAAATATTGGCAGGGCAAGTAAAGATCTGAACCACTGGTCCGATTGGGCTTGTAGAAAAAATTCTCAGCGTTGAACCCTGTATACAATTAAATGTATACAATAATATGTGTACTAGAAAAAAATATTTAAAGGTCCATTGAAGTTTTTTTTAGATGTTAGTATCAGTATTATTCGTTTTTAGGATATCTATAAGCTAGTGTGCCCCAAAACAGTGACAAAATTTGCATTTAGAAGATATAAAACTGAAATAAACATGGAAAACTTGTAGTTTGTCACTTCTGCCCAAACAGACCAAAGGTTTTATTCACGTCAACTCAAACTACAGTTTCTCATCACATCATAACCATTCAAAGCATCTGACAAGCTCCGCCCCCTTCAGGAAGCTTTTCATTTGTTTTTCATTTGATGCACTTAAGCTGAACCACTCTCACTGGCAAAGCTGTGATAAAACAAAACCCTTTGGCTGTTCTTTTTAAACATGGAGGAGATATCAGACATATAATAAATAAATAAATTCTATACAGCTTAAAGTGACATTTAAAGGTTTAACTAGGTTAATTAAGTTAACTAGGCAGGATAGGGTAATTAGGCAAGTTATTGTACACACAGTAGATTGTTCTGTAGATTATCAAGAAAACAAGTAGCTTAAAGGGGTTAATAATTTTGTTCTTAAAATGGCTTTTAAAAAATTAAAAACTGCTTTTATTCTAGCCGAAACACAACAAATAAGACTTTTTGTAGAAGAAAAAATATTATCAGACATACTGTGAAAATGTCCTTGCTCTGTTAAACATCATTTGCAAAATACTTAAAAAAGAAGAAAAAAATTTGAAGGGGGCTAATAATTCTGACTTCAACTGTATATATATATATATATATATATATATATATATATATATATATATATATATATATATATATATATATATATATATATATATATATATATATGCTCAGTCCATATGGCAGGGCTCAATAAATGGTACTGATAAATGCTCACAGATTGCTGTTTTGCATTTGAAAATCTTTATCTTAAAAAATATGTGTGTGCCTAATATCAGATGGCCAAAAATAGATTAATCTTTTATCAAATTTAATTTTCTCAATTCAAACGAGTATAAATTTTTAGAATGGAGACAGTGTTTGGTTAGTCTGCAGTTCAGTAGTGCCTTTTTAATCTTGTGTTCTTTTATACAGCTCAGATATTCTGCTGTTTTGCTGTATTTTTTCAGGAGCAAATACAGTTACATCTTCTGTTGTATTGTAGTTCCATCTTTCAGATTTTGTTTGTTTTATATCTGTCTGATGTGTTAGTTTGAGCCTGAGTGTGCTTTGCTGGATTGGCTGTAGTTTAAGTAGCAGCCTTTAAAGGGTGCTCTTCTGCAAATACTGCTCCTGTCACTACAGAGTTTAGCCTGGTAAGAGCTTCTGCATTTCAGGTACTTGTGGATCTCTTTATATATATATATATATATATATATATATATATATATATATATATATATATATATATATATATATATATATATATATATATATATATATATATATATATATATATATACAGTTAAAGTCAGAATTATTAGCCCCCCTGTATTATTATTACCCCTGTTTATTTTTTTCCCCAATTTCTGTTTAATGGAGGGAAGATTGTTTTTGCACATTTCTAATCATAATAGTTTTAAAAACTTATTTCTAATAAAAGGTTTATTTTATCTTTCCCATGATGACAGTAAATAATATTTTACTTGATATTTTTCAGGACACTTTTATACAGCTTAAATTGACATTTAAAGGCTTAACTAGGTTAATAGGTGAACTAGGCAGGTTAGGATAATTAGGCAAGTTATTGCATAATGATGGTTTGTTCTCTAGACTATTGAAAAAAAAATTAGCTTAAAGGGGCTAATAATTTTGTCCCAAAATGGTTTTTAAAAAATTAAAAACTGCTTTTATTCTAGCAAAAAAAAATAAAAATAAAAAAAAAACTTTCTCCAGAAGAAAAAATATTATCAGACATACTGTGAAAATTTCCTTGCTCTGTTAAAAACCATTTGGGAAATATTTAAAAAAAGAAGAAAAAATCGAAAGGGGGCTAATAATTCTGACTTCAACTGTATATATATATATATATATATATATATATATATATATATATATATATATATATATATATATATATATATATATTAGGGATGTAACGGTATTGTAAATACCGTCATACCGCAATATTATTTTTTTTTCCGATATTATCGTAGTCGCATGACTCGGTAAAACTACAGGTCTTCTGAGAAAATTTGCTCAGGCGAATGAAGCGAACGGGAGGTACCGGAAACTACAATTCCCATCAGCCCAGGCGTGGCCATAATCCCTTGCGGTCTGTTGTCGCTTGCAGATCCAGTAATGCGGAAATGGAGTGTGCTGCTAGAAGCGGGGATCAAAAAGAGCTGGAAAACCCTAAATCGGGTGTTGTCGCCGCGCACGTACTGAATAGTGGTGTTGTCGCGCGAGTTCTTATCAGCTGTGTTGTCTCGCGCGTTCTGAATAGCGGTGTTGTCGCGCGAGTTCTTATCAGCTGTGTTGTCGCGCGCGTACTGTAAAGCGGGGACGGAGGGTATGTCGCGTTGCGGGGGCACTTTTGATCATTTTGGAAGGGAACTTTCTATCCAAGACTAAAAAGGGCATGTGCACTGCACAGGTTGAGCACTGTGTGTGCACGTGCCTGCAAGTTGGGGAATACGACAAATCAGTCATGGGGACTGCAGAAACACAGCACACTGTTCAGATTGATGCAGACATGAGATCTCTATCTCACTCATGGTTTGTCCTCTCAAGTGGGGGAAAGGCAATGCACAACGTTACCCACTGCTAACAACCTGGGCCAAGTCATATCTCTCTTGTCCCAGAAACCTCAGTCCCAAATGAGAGGGTTTTTTTCTGTTGCAGGGGACATTGTAAATGCCCAGAGATACCAGCTTTTACCAGATTATATTTATATCATAATTTTCCTTTAAACCCATCTCTATCTAAGTGAGCGAGTGATTAAATGTTGAATGAGATGAGTTTTCAACACTACTAAATTGAAACTTAATTTTTTTTACATGGTTTAATAATTTTTTGTTATTAAAATTGAAGTTCCTGTTTCAAAGCTTACAGATAGATGACTAATTTGTATGTCATTGACACTTTTGGCACTTTTTTGGAGTATTTTCATAAGTTTTGTTTTTTCCTGTAAATGATTCAATAAATACCGTACCGTGACATTCATACCGAGGTATTACCGTACCGTGAAATTCTGATACCGTTACATCCCTAATATATATATATATATATATATATATATATATATATATATATATATATATATATATATATATATATATATATATATATATATATAGTGGTAAATGTCATTCTCATTTGGGGTTCCTCTGTTTTTACAAATATTTGTTTTCATACTTTAAATTTCTTTTTTTCCCATTTAGAGAAATCTTGATTTTTTTTTTTTTTTTTGAGATCCCTAAACATCACTGCCATTAGTTTGATTATTGTTTTTTGTGATTTTTTTTCCGGTCTTGCATTGCAATTTTATATTTAATAGTATTCTCTCCCTCTTTCTCTCACTGTAGATAAAACTGGGTCTAAGCGACGTTCTTCTGACATCATCAGTCTGCTGGTCAGCATTTATGGCAGTAAAGAGATCTTCGTTAATGAATACAAGACTGTACTGGCTGACAGACTTCTGCATCAGCTCAACTACAACACAGCCAGGTGACCCACCTTTCATACATATGTAAACCTGTTTCCACATAATGCTTAATGCTCTTGAATCAGCTTAAATATATTGGCTTGGCTTAGTTAAAACTGCCATATTATAATTTATTCAATTTCAAAATGATTAAATGTCAGTTCTTTTTAAAAATCACTTAATAAAATATTTGTTTCACATTTACCACAAACTCTCCAATCAATCATTTGAAAGCTTTAAGCTTAAAATATCAGGTAAATATTGGGGAGCCTTGAGGATAATTTTAGCCCCTTTGTTATTTTGTTTATGTCAATTGTTTAGTTTTAGGAATAGTTACTGCTTAAGGACATTTGTTCAAAGATGGCACAATTCTTTACACAGCTTTTTAGCCTTAGTTGGACTAAGTTAAGGATGCCATATACTGCATTGGTTTAATAAGTTAAATTGTTCTCTGAAATCTACTTAGTAGGTTTATGGTTTCGGTAAGTTAAAAAAAATTCATAAACAGTTTAATAAGCTTATTTATTTCTAAATAAAATATCCATAGAATCAGAAAGTACATGATTTACTATATATGGCTTGTGACGTGAATGTTAATGAGCTCCACTCTGACGTGCCGTTCTTACAGAGACACGCACTGTTAAACAGCATGATGTATGCTGAACAAAGTAAAAAACAAACCCAACCAGAGTATTGCTAACCTGTTTGCTCCGCTAATGAGTTGTGGATAAAGGCTAAATTATAATTAAACTTGTAAAAATGTATAATATTTAAATTGTGCATTTTGCGTCCTGAGGCCAGTTTTAACATGCCTTGGGATGTCGTTGCCCAGCAACACACAGTAAACAATTTGGTGCACACATTTTCAAAATAAAAGTCCCATATAAGTGAAATGTACGCTTAAAAATATCTAATGGAGGAAAATCATAATTTTTTCTCGCTCTAAAACATTTTATAGCTGCTTATCATACACTGCATGAGGCATGTATATTAACGGCATAAATGCAAATGCGAGGGCATGGCCCGTGAGTCTCTTCACAGTTTGTTTTGTCTTCTGATTGGTCTGTTGTCCACCGGGGGTTTTACACTGGTGGAATTTACATTAAAACAAGGAAACTGGTGTCTGAAGCTCACAGTATGCCATTTCCATATACTCATCATTTATTATTCTGCTATGCCTTGGTATACCTAGATTTTTATTATAGGGCACCTTTAACTGAAACTCCAAATTACAACCACATGGCTAAGTCGGTCATAATCAGTCAGCTGTTATAAGTACTTGGGTATTTGGATTGATGAACAAGCTTTTGACATGCACATTAATAGGTTGTTGAAAAAGCTAAGATTAAAAATATTGTTTTAAAAACCGTTCCTTTTTAAGTCTCGCAAGAGTGCATTTTTATCCTTAATCGATTATGGTGAGCATCTATATATGCACGCAGTTACTGCATTACTTTGACATTTTTCAAATGTAAAACTCACAGAATGCTGATGCATACAGATACATTGCAGTTGCTGGTGACGATAGTGAAAACATGGTACAGTTGATAACACCACATACTCACAGCCTCAACTTTCTTACACAGAGACCACCACACCAAACCCCCTACACCCCCCGTTCTCGGGAAAATCGGGCACAAATGTTGGCAGGCATGAACTAAATTGCTAATAATAATTGCTAGTGAAAAACCATGTTTCTCGTTGCTCATATCCTTGTTTACGTCCTTTCTACATCATAGCCTACAATGAACGCTAGAAACTATGCATGTAAAATAAAATTTTTAACAAACAGAAGTACTTACAGGTTGTGGCTCACAATACACAGCTTTTTCTTTTATCATAGGCTGAATTCAGCAGTGTCCTTTGTAAAATGCTTTGCACAGAGGGCTATATCTTTTTTTGTAATAATCTGGAACATAATTAAAAATGAATTTTAAGCACTTCTCTCTTTGTGTCTTGTCCCTTGGAAGGCCAAATAGTGAAACAGAACCAGATTCATGAAAATAGCAGCATTTGGACTGCATTTTTCTTTCTCTAAAAACACGTCTGTGGCCATGCCCCTTTGCTGCACGAGGTGTGTGGGCAGTGGATGTGCATAACACGGATCGTTTGTGATCTTATTAGCCTGGATGTATTTTTTTGTAGTCCCCAGATTTCTTCACTGTAGGGTTTGCTAAGCTAACTTTGTAAAAGCCAATGTCTCCCTTTAAATTTGAACTTTGAGCATCTTACATTCAGAGATGTTGTTTATGTCGACACAGCAAAATATGATATTGTACTGGACCACCTCTTTAAATTCCATGATAACTTTTTTGTGCCACTGCCATACAATATTTTAGCACCTCATGGTCCCAAAGACACATGCAGAGTTTTGTGACACTATGTCAATGTGTTCATAAAATATAGCAATTTTTGACAATTTACAATGGCGGATGCTCAAAATGGCTGACCTGGGAATTTGATACAATCTGACCAGACCTTATTGGTCTTGCCTAATCTGATCAGTTTTATCTGGTGATATTTTGCAACTATTGAATGCACATGTTGCAATATCCATGCCAAACAAATATACTGTGCAGCCCAAATTCATAACATTATAAATTGTATTTCCAGATAAATGTAACAAATTAAATGCATAAGCTTCATAGATGCAAATGAAATAAAACTTTTTTTTTCTAAAAAAAAAAAAAAAAAAGAATTCAGATATTGTTTAAAACAGTTGAGTAAAGGCAGATATTTTATGTTTCTACTGTATCTCAAAACAAGAGATCAAAAGATAATGCAAATATTCATGACATTAAGCTTAAAAGAGATCAGGAAGAGGAGTTTATTTACCAGGTTTTAAGTATTAAATTCTGTACTTAAATGTTCTCTCTTTGTGTTTACAGAGAGATTCGCAATGTTGAGCTGCTGAAACTGAGGTTTGGCGAATCCCATATGCATTATTGTGAAGTGATGCTGAAGGTATGCTCTTCACCAAATCACTTTTCTTGTTATCATGTCATTCATGTCATCTTATAATCATGTCATTGCTTTTTATGTAACCTCGAATGGGTTTTCTTGCTTTATGTGTTTCTTACACTGAATAAAAAAAATATTAATAATAATAAATTATTATACAGCACTTTTCTTACACCCAAAGCTCTACATTAAGCATAAAACAGAAAAGAAAACAAAAAGACATCAAATAATAAACCACAATATTACACATAATTAATGTCTGCGTTTTCCTCTGCAGGATGTGGCAGACTCTAGGCGGATCAACTCTAATATCCACGAGGAGGAACGTCGTCTTCCTGCAGAAGAGCAGCCTACATTACCACTGTCTGCCATGATCATTTCATCTGAGTTCTGGCCCCAGCTGAAGGAGGAGAAGATGGAACTCCCTGCAGTCGCCTCTAAAGCCATGGAGGACTACACACACCGCTTTGAGAAACTCAAGGTATTTTAGTACATTTTTTGCTTTTTGGCACATATATTATTGGCACACAGCACAGAAAGAGTTTGGTCAAATTCTTTAGATTCTTTCTTCATGATCTGTCTTTGTCTTCCAAACTCTTTTGGAAATATTTTAAGCCATATCTTTTCTTATTTTTTTATGCAGGCCATGAGAACTCTGAGGTGGAAACCTCAGCTGGGTTCTGTTACATTAGATCTAGAGCTGGAGGACAGAACTATCACAGATCTCACAGTGTCGCCCATCCATGCTGCAATTATTTTACACTTCCAGGACAAAGGTGGGGTAAAGTAGTTCCATTCCATTATATGATAATTTGGTGCTTTAGGAAAAATGCTGTGGTTGTTTGGGTTTATCTGAAAAACATGCTAATGTCAGTTATTCTTAGTTTATAATGTGTGTTCTGTGTTGGAATGTCTGTCTATGGGCTCTATTTTAATGTTCAAAGCACAAAGTCTAACGCGCAGGGCGCAAAAGCATTAAGGGCATGTCCAAATCCACTTTTGCTATTTTAAGGATGGAAAAATAAGCTCTGCAACCCTTGTGCATGGTCTAACAGGGTTGTGCTTATTCTCTTAATGAGTTACGGGTGTGTTTTGAGCATAACATACATTAAACCAATCAGACCATATAACCAATTGCTATTTATATGGCGGACATTGTAGGTGGAAGAAAAGAATGCTTTACTAACAAAAAACAGTTAAATAGACCACCTGCAGTGAGTATAAAGAATGAACCTCCTCCATTTGGCCTCTTTACTTTCTCTTTACTTTAGTTTTACTCTTTACTTCACTACTTTACTTTTGTAAAGAAACGGTGTTGTACGCACTCCAATGTAGACATCCATTAGCCTACATATTTAATTTTGTTTGTTAAGCGCAAAGATTTGTTTCAAAACTATTTCTAAATTCAGTTCTAATTTCCAGCAAACGAATTAATGAACAATATTAACGAAGTGTGGTCAAACAAGTTCCATATGATGATTTGTACGTCTCCTAAACCCGACAGGTGTACAAATCTAAACTTGTTTTTATTAAAACAAATATAAATATGCAAAATGAATACTACTACTAATAATACCGTTATACAAATGCAAAATGAATGAGTAAACAGACAACATAAGAGCCGGATTCCAAAACCCTAAATGTCAAGAATGCATGGTCGGAGGCAGTGGTTTTTTTATATTTGTGTAGAAAATAATAATTTTTGTAATATATTAATACTTTAATTTTTTTCTTATCTAAAGATATTTGTGTATTGCAATGTGTAGGCATTTGAACCCACATAACTATCGCACTTTGCACTGGAGTTTGGTCTAGCTTTTAGTTGGTCAATGCAGCGGTCTATTTCAGTTCTTCAAAATAACAACATGCCAACAATGTGCCTTTACTCACCTCGGCAATTGATTTGCTATTTAAACAATGTGGTGCAAAACATGAAAATTAGAGCTGCCCTGGTATAAAAATAGCAACAAATACCTGCCTTGCACCTCATTGCGGTGGGTGTATAATACGCAGTGTTGGGGAGGTTACTTTGGATATGTAAGAGATTACAGATTACAAATTACCCTACGTACCCAAAGTACAGCCACCACAAAACCAGACCTTATAACAAAAAAATTGTTTACTGTTGTTACAAAATCAAAATTTTTGTTAGTTGTGCAGGGTGATTGTTGTGGCATTTGCAAAAAAAAGCTATTTTCGCAATTTTCATTTTTAAATCGAAGCAACTTAAATCCAAGTTAATCATATCTTAGTGATCAATAACACTGTCAATGAAACATACATACATTCATTCATTTTCTTTTCGGCTTAGTCCCTTTATTAATCCGGGGTCACCACATCGGAATGAACCGCCAACTTATCCTGCACATGTTTTTTTATGCAGCGGATGCCCCTCCAGCTGCAACCCATCTCTGGGAAATGTCCATACACACTCATTCACACTGATACACTATGGACAATTTAGCTTACCCAATTCACCTGAACTGCATGTCTTTGGACTGTGGGGGAAATCGGAGCATCCAGAGGAAACTCGCGCAAATGCAGGGAGAACATGCAAACTCCACACAAAAACGCGAACTGACCTAGCTGGGGCTCGAACCACCAACCTTTTTGCTGTAATGAAACATTTTGAAACAGAATTGTTCAGTTAAATTATGTACTGTAAATATGCTGTAATAACAGAAACAAATTCTAGTATATAACAGCTAAAACAAATAATTCAATAAAACCAGGTGTTACACAATTAAAATACTATGATAATTTATAGTAAAGGGATATATTTAGAAATGAGCTTTATATTGTATAAATATTTACAACTCTTCATTAATAAATCACTCTACATAATGTAGTAACTATCATGAACTAATAGTAATTACCATATTTTACTTTAGCCTTTACTAGAGTAAACTATATATATAGACCTCCTCCTCCTCAGTCATCTTTCCATCAAGCAAAATTTTGTGTTAGCCTTGGCTGGTGAAATCACTGACCAGAGCGAGAGGTGGCAGTAACCCACCAAAAAGTTTGTTGTCGACCTCTGAAAAACAGGTAGAAGAAGAATTCGTCATTTTCACCGTCATATGGCTTTATTTTCATTGGCTAGACACTGGCCTCAGCTCTGTGAATGTCGGTGCTGTCACTTATTGATGATGTGTGGACGCTATTGTGCTACTTGACTAAAAAAAAAGCTTCACTACTAAAAAGATTTTTGATTTAAAAAGTAGCGACGCTACCGCCACTCTACTGATAAATGTATTTATAGCAGAATAGCACCGCTTTTATAATTGGCTTTAGCAGAAGGCATCTTGCATATCAGGCAAAGTAACAGATTAATACTATTCAAAATATCCCAAATCTTTAAAGAGTATTTTTGGATGTAACCCCATTTGTAATCTTTAACATTTTTATAAGTAACAGTAATTTAATTTCACATTTTTGTCAGTAACTGTACAGTTATTTAAATTTATTTTGTAATTAAATTACGTAATGCCGTTACATGTAAATAGTCCCCAACACTGATAATAGGTCCCTTTGTCTTGGTCTGTTAAACTCCGCCTACTATCAGTTTATCAAATTATATTTCAGCTGTGTTTTTCAGAAAACACTGCATATTTCATTTCAGTCATGAAGGCTGCTTTCATACTGTATATGCAGGTGCTGCTTAAAATGCGACCTCAATGAGTTTTTAATCATTTTTAATAATAATATAAATATTGTAATTATAAAAATTCTACGTCTCAGTCATCAGGCATGCTCGCTCCTGTCAATTTAGCAACCTATGTTGTTGTCGGAGGAAGGGTCTGGGGGAAAAGCTCACTTCAATATTTTGAATTTGTACTGCAATATCAATGTCAACCAATAGGTTGCCAGTTCTACATACTGCTATTTTCATTTTAAGGTGAACTATCCCTAAAGGTTTTGGCCTACAATAATGCAATTCCTGCAGCATTCTAAGGTTCTACAAGCTGCTAGCATAACTACCATCCACTATGCTCATGAATGATGCATTCTTGATAAAACTGTGCTTCTGAAGTGCCAATACTCTTTGTTTTCCCATTATTAGGCACTTGGACATTGGAAGAGTTGAGTGGGGTCCTAGGAGTGCCCCAGGAGATGGTGCGCAGGAAGCTGGCCCTGTGGCAGCAGCAGGGTGTGCTGCGGGAGGAAGCAGGTGGCCGATATACTGTGCAGGAAACCAGCACTTGCAAAGAGAGATCTGAAAGAAGTGTCATGCTTATAGACAGTGATGAGGAGGGAGATTCCAACACAGCAACACAATCTGAGCAGAGAGAAGAGAAGCTGCAGGTTATATATACTCTCCTAACAGTCACATTGCATTAATGTAAAACTGTTAAGGGAATTACTTTATAATAAAGATGATACTAAATCATTTTTTTCTTATTTCTCAGCTATTCTGGGCCTACATTCAGGCCATGCTGACTAACCTGGAGAGCATGACTTTAGAGAGGATCCACTCCATGCTGCGAATGTTTGTGGCCGCCGGGCCTGGAGTCACTGAGATGGACGTGAATGAATTGCAGGCTTTCCTGCAGAAGAAAGTCAGAGCCCACCAGCTTACTGTGTCCACTGGTGTCTACAGGCTACCAAAGATCACTCAGTAGTCAACAGAATAAGTCTCAATAGGAACAAGTGAGAGAATACAAAAAAAATGAAGTTTATCTTATGTCAAAACATTTTTGTTTAATCTGAAAATGAATAAAAACATAACATGTTTGGATTTTTTTCTTTAGTCTAATATATATTTTTGAAGGAAGTCCAAGGCTACATTTATTTGATCAAAAAATATAAAAATAACTATTTTAAAATGCAATTATTCTCGTAATGGAAAATCAACCTTTTTAGCTGCCAGTAAACTAGACTTTATTATTATCATGTGATCCTGATGTTATGCTGATGAATACGTTTAAAAAAATCTATATTTTGTAGAAAGGTAGTTTTTATTTAGTCTTTTCATTCATTCATTTTCTTTTTGGATTAGTCCCTTTATTAATCTGGTGTCACCACAGCGGAACGAACCGCCAACTTATCCAGCATATGTTTTATGAAGCGGATGCCCTTCTAGCTGCAACCCATCTCTGGTAAACATTCATACACACTCATACACTACGGACAATTTAGCCCACACAATTCACCTGTACCACATGTTTTTGGACTGTGGGGCAAACCAGAGCACCTGAAAAAACCCCACGTGAACGCAGGGAGAATACGCAAACTCCACACAGAAATGCCAACTGACCCAGCCGTGGCTCAAACCAGTGACCTTCTTTCTGTGAGGCGACAGCACTACCTACTGCGCCAGTGCATCGCCTTTGTCTTTTCAGCAAAGATAAAATAAATATATTTGAAATAAATACTGTCCTTAAGTACATTTTTAATTCACCAAAACATCAGTTTCAAATTGAAAACTATATAATATAAATTTAAACAAATGTTACTGCTTGAAAAAAAAACTCTATTACATGCAAACTATATTTTTTATAAGAACATTATCACTGACCAATGATTGCTGGCCACCAAATTAGCACATAATAATGGGATACTGAAGACACAAAAATGCAGCTTTGCCATTTCATGAATATATTGCATTTTAATATATATACAGTCAGGTCCATAAATAGTGAGACATTGACACAATTCTAACATTTTTGGCTCCATACACCAACACGATGGATTTGAAATGAAAAGAACTATACTGTATGCGCTTCAACTGCAGACTTTCAGCTTTAATTTGAGGGTATTTACATCCAAATCAGGTGAATGGTGTAGCATTTACAACATATGTGCCTCCCACGCATTAAGGGACCAAAAGTAATGGGACAGAATAATAATCATATATCAAACTTTCACTTTTTATTTCTTGGTTGCAAATCTTTTGCTGTCAATTACAGCATGAAGTCTGGAATACATAGACATCACCAGATGCTGCTTTCATTCCTGGTGGTGCTCTGCCAGGCCTCTACAGCAACTGTCTTTAGTTCCTGCTTGTTCTTGAGGCATTTTCCTTTCAGTTTGTCTTCAGCAAGTTAAATGCATGCTCAATCAGATTCAGGTCAGGAGATTGACTTAGTTATTGCATAATATTTCACTTCTTACCCTTCAAAAACTATTTGATTGCTTTTGCATTGTATGCTTTAGGTCATTGTCCTTCTACATTAATGAATTATGACGCTTTTGGCTGAAAACGAGCAGATAATATTGGCCATTGAAACACTTTAGAATTCATCCTGCTGCTTTTGTCAGCAGTCACATCATCAATAAATACAAGAGAACCAGTTGCATTGGTAGCCATACATGCCCGGGTTAAACTCTAATCTGGCCTTCCTGTTTTTGAGGCTCACCATGCTTTGCTACCTCCTGGAGAGTGTTCTCGATCTGTCCCACTGTTGTGAAGGGCATTTTCTTCAACAGGGATAGAATTCTTCAGTTGTAAACCTCAGTTGTTTCTGTGGTCTTCTGGGTCTTTCAGTGTTGCTGAGCTCACAAAACAGTTGTTTTGGCCACGCCTTATGTTTTTGCTGTCTCTCTGATGGGTTTGTTTTGTTTTTTCAGCCTAATGATCGCTTGCTTGACTGACAGTGACAGCTCTTTAGATCTCATCTTGAGAGTTGACAGCAACAGATTCAAATGTAAATGGCACACTTGGAATGAACTCTGGACCTTTTATCTGCTCATTGTAATTGGGATAATGAGGGACTAACACACCTGGCCATGGAACAGCTTAGAAACCAACTGACATATTACTTTTGGACCCTAACAAGTGGGAGGCACGTATGCAAACTGTTGTAATTCTTACACCGTTCACTTAATTTGGATGTAAATACCCTCAAATTAAAGCTGACAGTCTGCAGTTAAAGCATGCTTAGTTGATTTAATTTAAAATACAATGTGTTTGTGTATAGAGCACAAAAATGTTAGAACTGTGTCGAAGTTTCAATATTTATGGACCTGACTGTAAACGGATAAGTAGTCTTATACAAATAAGATTTTTTTTACTTTATTTAAACCAAATAATTCAGCCTTTGTGAAAATATAACCTACTGTTCAAAAGGTATATATATATAAGGTATGAATAGCCTCTTATGCTCACAATGTCTTAATATTTAGTTTGCCTCTCTTTAAGAACAGCACATTTGAATGAAAACTGGTATTGGATTTGCTCTCCATTTCATGTTTAGCATGAAACCAGTTACTGTGAACCCCTGCTTTAACCTTGACCCTGCACTGTACATCTGTCCTGCACTCTGTGCTCCAGAAGTTTCTCTAACGAGTCAAATGTTTTAATCTGGCAATTCTTGGAGAAGCTTTGTAGAAGATCAACGTGTGAACAAAAGGCCTCTTCTTTCTTTTCCTGAATGTGTAAAATAGGATGAAAGCTGACTCGTCTGACTCGTCTGTTTTTTTCTTCCATTGCTCAGGGTTTAATATTGAGCTCTTGACACAATGTTATGCTTCTATGTTGGACGTTGATGAAAGCAGATTCATGGCAACCACACTGTAGTTTCCAGCTCCATGGAGTTTTTGTTGACCCTGGATCATAGAGATGATTTTTAAAAATTCTTTAAAGACAAGATGAAGTGAAGAGGCTAATCTCACTGTGAATGTTGGATTAGGAGTTGTAGTGTGTTTTTTATTTCCAGTTTTTATTTTATAGATTGAATAATCAATCTCTGGTGGTAGCGGCCCTCCCTCTGTAATTGCCTGATCTCTGATGGAAACATATAAAATGACAGTTCCAGTGTTACACATGAAAATGTTCCAAAAAAAAAGTGTTTTACATGTGTTCCATGTAGTTCACATGTGATTTCAACATCTGATTGAATAGATTGAACATTACAGGGAAGGTAGTGTTGTACTGCAGTCTGCAGCACGTTGCAGCGTTGTTGATGTTTGTGGTTTATTTTACTATAATTATCTACAAATGCTGCCAAAATTTTCAGGTCCCCAGATAATTATTTTGGCTATTCGTGTAATACAAAAAATGGATTTTAGTTACATGTGTTATAGCTGTTTCCTCCAGGTGCTCTGTTTCCCCCTATAGGTGAATTGAATAAACTAAATTGCCCGTAGTGTATGGGTGTGTATAGATGTTTCCTTAGTACTGGGTTGTGGATGGAAGGGGATCCATTGTGTAAAACATATGCTGGATAAGTTGGTGGTTCATTCTGCTGTGGCGACCCCTGATTTAAAGAAAGGACAAAGCTGAAGGAAAATAAGTGAACAAGTACAGAGATATGTCAAAAATAACAAAATAATATCGCAAAATTTAAATACACACTTCAAACTGCTTTTTTTTTTAGTTCATGTGGGATGTTGCAATGCATTTTCAAACAGCATACAGCTTGTTGACAAAAAACAAACTGAAGGGAAGCTGGGAACTTTTCCCCTTTTAAAATAACAGCCAATACTGTTTTGTTTTAATATGTATTTTGCTCAATTGCATCAAATTAAAAGCAATTGAGAAATGTCTTAAAGAGATGGGACATGTCAGATACTAGACAGTTTTTAATGCTCAAGACTTGATGAGAAATTGAAGAATGAGAGGACAAGAAAAAAACGTTCCATTTAAACAGAAGTGCCAAACTGCAAGCTTCAGGTGTTTATATCAGTTTTATAATTTAAAAAAGTGAATTTTGTCACTGTTTTGGAGCACACTAGCTTAGAGATATCCTTAAAACTAACATCCTGATACTAACATCTAAAATACTTTACCTTAATTTTGTGGTACCTTTAAAGGGCCTATGTTGTGGTCCATATCTTTATGAGTTTCTTCTGTTGAACACAAAAGAAACATCTGTAAAATAAGAAAACCTGTAACCATTGGCATAGTAGATAAAAGAAATACTATAGAAATTAGTGGACACATTGGACCGCTTTATTCAAAATATCTTCTTTTGCTCTCAGTAAACTATAAATTTACTATGTAAATATCATGCTTTATGAAGACATTTTGTAAATGTCCTGTTGTAAACATCAATACTTGATCTTTGATTTGTATTTTGAATTGCTTAGCACTTAATTTATGCTCTAAAGGCAGTTTTTTATTTTTATTATATTTATTTTTTTTAAGATTCCAGATTGTCAAATAGTTAATTAATGTTAATAATTTAGTTTATAGTATTGCCACATTAAAACAAAGTATGTATGGATTTTAGTTACATATGTTATAATTTGACTCATTACCAACCATTTTTATATTCTCATAACAACGTTATCAAGCAATCAAACGAGCAGTTGGGGAATTTAAAATGAAATTGCAATCTACCCTAACTGGCTGTGAGAGTAGCCTATATTTGACCTGCAGACAGAGGGAGCAGTTAACTCGTGAATGGGTTAGTATATCATGACGTGTTGAGGCTGTGTGTGAAAGGGCCGCGCACGGTGAATTTGCGCTCATCTGGATGTTCACATACACACACATACTGAGTCTCACGACGGAGGAGTCAGACTCGTGAAGTCAATTTAAAAAAAGCATAAGGAGACTGTCAAGCGATTTAGTTGGACTACGTGGAAAATGCGTAACTGATGGATTGTTCTTTTGGTTTAAAACACGACTCTTCTCTTTTAAGCTTTATTTGAGAAGGAAATTGCTTTACCTGGAGCGCGCTCAGACTACGATTCATTTGCCAACATAAGATGGGATCGCTACTTAAGATGGGATATCGTGTTTTTATTGTGCTGCTTACACGCATGGTCGTACTGGAATGCAGAGCAGAAAAAGGCAATATTACTGTCGCGGTGATGCTGCCCGAAAACCTGAAGTATTCTTGGGCATCGCCGCGCGTCCTCCCCGCTATCCGTATGGCGCAAGAGAAAATTCAGAAAAGCGGACTTTTAAGGGGACACACAATCAACCTTCTTAACTTTAGCACAGAGGATTCCTCAGGTTCTTGTTCGGAAAACGAGGCGCAAATTATCGCTGTGGACACAAAACTTTACCACAAACCAGATGCGTTCATCGGACCCGGCTGCACGTATTCGGTGGCGTCGGTCGGACGGTTCGCGTCCCACTGGAAACTCCCTTTGATAACCGCGGGAGGACCAGCGTATGGTTTTGATAAGTGGGAAGAGTTTAAAACTATTGTCAGGACGGGCCCGACCACCAAGAAACTCGGAGATTTTGTCAATTATCTGCACGGACAGTTTAACTGGAGCTCTCGCGCGTTAATGATCTTTCATGACCTCAAACAGGACGACCGGCCGCATTACTTTCTCTCCGAGGGCATTTACACGGTTCTGCGCGAGGAAAACATTACAGTGTTGGCTTTCCCTTATGAAGACGAACAAACTTATAATTATAAAGATATGATCACATTTATAAAGGACAACGGCAGAAGTAAGTTTAGTTTAAGTTACCATATGCCCTTACTACTAGAAATAAAAAATGCTGGGTTCCACACAATTCCTTCATGTTGTCCCAACAAAAATCGATTAAGTTAACTTCATATTTTAATTATTTAAGCGGACTGAACGTAAAAGAGTTAAATTGTTCCAAAATAAACCTTGAATTGTGTTGTTTTAGTCAAAATCATTTTTGAGTTTAGTGGTGTTTTGATATACCAAATACTGAATGGTGATTTGTTTACAATTTACCTGTACACTTTAATCCAAGGTACTTAAAAAGCATATAATTTTACTCCAATAACTTAAGGCAAAAGCACAAATTGCAATACAGCTCTTTTTTGTTGTAGCTTCAATGAATCTAAATTATATTTCACTCCAATTACTCTTTTTATAATGACTACAGGAAAAAAAACAAAAAAACCTAATGATTGTGTTTTTTAAATTATTAAGATGCCTGAATAGTACAATAAACTATTCCCCTTAGAGTCCTGTACATAATTTAGTAACCGTTTAAAATTAAAAATAAAGAATGAGGCATGTTTCCCTTTAGATGTTATGTCTTTGTGTAATAAAGCAGTTGCTGTAATATATAACACTTAAGATGCATATCAAAATACTGTGATATTGCCATCTGGATTTGTCACTGTTATGGTTTGGTCCTCTCCCCCAAAACCACACCCGCACAATTAACATGTGTTCAAAGCATCCTTCCATGGCAGCAACACTGATATTCTCGCTTCACTACATCTAAAATCTGAAGATTACAATGAGGCATTGATAGCTTTGGTTTAGGGCAGACACCACCTGTGTTTCCCCGGGCTGTATTTTTGGCCCTGTGGTGCCCTGGGTGAGTTATTTACAGCACCGGCAAAACAGGAGGGCACACACTCTATTTACTGTTAATAAAGCAATATTGTCAACATTTATGGACACCTTGTGTTCATATACTTGCCAATCACACAATTTTACAGTTTGTTGGATGTTCTTATAGTATTTAAAATGTGTTAGTATAATTAAAAAGCTAAAATTAAGCAAAAAATAAATCAAAGACAATATAACATAACTTAAAAACATTTTTTTAAAAGTTGCTTTCAAAAATACATATAAACTTCTGATTCAAATACTTCAGAGACTAGTTTTCTTCATTAGGGACATCATCAGAAACTTTAAATGTTATTTGAAACAAATGATAATTGATCAGAAGAGTTGATGTTGAACTTTAAGCGGGTACAGAGAACCCCTAAAACATGTTACTTTCTGGAGTGCAGCTCGATTATTTGCTTTGTTACAGTGCTTGACATTCTTATAACCCCAATGAGCTGTCAAACACAATTATTATGGCAGGAGGGGAATAATGCTAGGAATGAGAAGAACACGTACTGCAATGTCACAGAGGTCTTTGTGCTTAAACTCTGCCTGTTAGTTCATTATTTTTAACTGAACTCCCTGAAGATTCGTATAGCACAATATATGCATTACAATACATTACAGCATTTTAATTAAGATATGGTTTAAAAAATGTAATGTGTAGTAAAAGAGAAAGCATACCGTTAGTCAGAGTAATACTTCAGCTTTGAGGTCTAGCTCTTAGAGGTCCAGATTCTGAAATTTTCAAATACTGAGACAGAAAACAAAGGGTAAAATCCCATAACAGATTTAAATATGTCAAGAAAATAATGTTTCCCCCCAGTTTTTTTTTTTTATATAAACAACAATTCTTCAGCGAATATTTAATTTTAGAGTGATATCAGACAGTGAAACACTCGATAACAAAGGAATGTTGCAACAAGTTTATTCTTTCAAAATGTTTTCTTTTTTCTTATTTTTAATTTGATACATTTACAGAAAATCCAGTGAAATTATCATTTTCATCCCTACTGATCATCAGATCAGTTTTTCTTCATAGTACCAAGGCAATTATAATTATGAGACACTGTTTCTTTGACCCGAACAGCTGTTGTCTGCTGCTTGTCATTTTAAAAACTGAACATAAACCTATAAAGTGCACTGTTTTAAGGCAATTACTGAGAGGTTTTTTTTTTTTTTTGTGCATTTCTGAGGGCCGGCATGTGTTGCATATGGGCAGATTCTATGTGATGACAAATATTTATTGGTGGTTGAGGCAAAACTAAAGCTGTAGTCTTGATACAATTCAGCTGAGTGTGATTTTAGGGACACACAAAATCAGAAGGCTTTGTCTAGTTAAGGGCTGAAAACAGCTGCAGCTGGCAAGCAAGATGCAACCTATTCAGTATAGTCTGACCACATTTGTTGGTTAGATGTTCCCACTGTTTCCCATTTGTATTTCTGTTCCAAAAATGGGATTTTATAAATACCTGACTGATTGCAGAATATTTGCCACAGTTTTACATGACATATCTGGAAATGTCATAACCCTGGACAAATTATGAACTTGATGATTCATGATTTGAAATTCCTCATAGTATATAACCTAGATTTGTGCAACATTAATGTTTGTCTGAGTTATCATTGTTATAACATTACAAATCCAATTAGGAAAAGCACATTTTCAGTTTCATGATCTTTGCCATAGAAATATATTCATCGTAAGAGTAATATTCATGTCATTTGGGAGAATTGTCCACCATCCCTTAGTTAGATCAATGGTTCACATTGCTGAATCCACACTGCCATGGCAACACAAATCCATGTCTTCCAGTGTCTCCTTTGAAAATGCAACGAATGTCCCTTGATGCCTAAAGCTTTTCACAAAGACATTTAAAGGTTGATTACGGTTTTGTCTTTGACAGTATTCTTTAAATAATGCTTCCAGCATGCTCCTTCAAAGCCACTAAATGAGGAATTTCAACATTTTAAAAGCTATGATTGGTTTGGTTTTAAGCTGCTGCTTGATTTCTGCTCTTTCCCTAACCTTGTTCTTCTGTTTGGTTTTCAGTTTCATAACCTCTCTTTACAAAAATAAGTATGTCACCAAAATAAGCGATAACATCAACACATGGCCTTCATCTGATAATACTGACTTAATCGTTTAGTAGCTTTTGAGAGCCATTCAGCATGTCTAGATTGTTCTGACATTTAACTACGCTGTAATAGTGTGTGAACATTTAGAGCGCTTTTATAGCTAATTGCTTGCAGTTGCCGTTTTACTGTTGGCTTGATTGGCTGCTCGCAGATCCTGATTATCCACGTCTTTGACTCGCTCATAAGATTAATTTATTAACATATTTCAAGAGTGAGGCTGTGCCATTTCTAACTGCATTTAGCTTGAGGTATTGCTATGGTAATTAATGTAATTTGAAAGTAAAACATCTTCGTATGTTGAATAATAAAATATGGTAAAAATAAGTTTAGAATACGTTTAAAAAAAACAGTGGATTAGTGGTTAGCACTGTCGCCTCACAACAAGAAGATCTGTGGTTCCAGTCCTGGCTGGACCATTTGCTATTCTGTCTGGAGTTTGCATGTTCTCCTCCTGGTGCTCCGGTTTTCCCCATAGTCTTAACCTGAGATGTGCAAATTTGGTCCTGGAGTGCCTGTGTTTTTGATATTTTAGTTCCAACCCCAATTAGACACCTGAATTGACTAATCAAGCTCTTTCTAGGTATATTAGAAACCTCCAGGCAGGTGTGTTAAAAGAAGTTGAACTAAACTATGCAGGACAGTGACCCTCCAGGACCGAGTTTGGAGACTCCTGGTCTAAACACATGCTCTATAGATGAATTGGATGAACTAAATTGGACGTAGTGTGTATGTGTGTGTGTGAATGAGTGTTTATGAATGTTTCCCAGTAATGGGTTGCGGATAGAAGGACATATGCTGCGTAAAACATGCTGGAATAGTTGGCAATTCATTCTGCTGTGGCTGCTCCTGATAAATAAATGACAAAGCGGAAGGAAAATGAATGAATGAATGAAAAATTCCACAGACATGTTAACAATTACAAAAAAATATGGCATAATGTAAAAACCCACCTCAAATTGCAAATTTTATTTTGATGTGGCATGATACCAGGGGCGGACTGGGACTAAAAATCAGCCCTGGCACTGTAGCCACACCAGCCCACATTACCACACCGACACAGCCCCATCCACGGACACGCACATTCACTACTTATATTGTTGTACAGATGGTGACAATGTAAGCAGTACCATATTTTACGCAGCTGATGTCCTCCAAGCTGCAACCCATCATTGGGAAACCCCTATACACACACATTCACATACATGCACTACGGCCAATTAGGCCTACCCAATTCACCTATAGCACATGTGTTTGGACTTGTGAGGGAAACCGGGAGGAAACCCATGCGAACATGCAAACTCCACACAGATACACCAGCTAACCAGCCGAGGTACGTACCATCGACCTTCTTGCTGTCAACAGTGTTCTTTCCAGTCTATTTCAGTTAATGTTATGCATTTGGGAGCATCTGATTTTAGAGCAATTTTTGGCGTTTTCTGGGCTTTTCGGCACCGCCTTTTCTTTTTTTAACGGTCCATCTCTGACAATTAGCTTATGTTGCACTTACTGTTTGTTTGACATTCTTGCCAGATTTTGATTACGTCCATGTAACCTCTGATTGGGTCTGCCCATCTCAAAACCAGTCAACCATTGCCGATTGGGCCAACGCTTAACATTTATTATTATTATTGTTATTACTATCATCATCATCATATTCACATCTTGCAAGAGAAAAACATATAAAAACAATACATATAAAAAAAAGTCATTTAAAAAATAGCATACTGGCCCACATTTAAAAAAATGGTCCGGCCCTTCTGGCATTTGCCAGAATTGGCAGATGGCCAGTCCGCCCCTGCATGTTACACTGCATTTTCAAACAGCATACAGCTTGTTGACAAGAAACAAACACTATTACTACATGTGACCCTGGACAACAAAACTATTCATAATGTGCAAGGGTATATTTTTGTAAACGGTTAAAAATGCATTGTATGAGTAAAAATTATCAACATTTTTTATTGCAAAATCATTAGAATATTAATATGT